TCCCAGGGTAAAACATTGTCCCCGTACCAAATGCACACTAGGTTAGTAACATTGAATTGACAATCTGATGTCTGTCCAAGAAAAATAATGGAAACTAAGGCAAGATATATATATATATAACAGCTAAGAAAATTGAAGATTCAGGCAAACAAAAATTAGTAAATTACTACTCTCAATCCCAATTTATGTGATGGTGTTTTCTTTTAGTCTGTCCCAAAATGACATCTTTCTACATTTAAAAACAATTTAACTATAAACTTCTCATTTTACCCTTGATGAGATGATTTAAGCTCCACAAATGTCTAAGACTTGTTTTAGACCACGGATTTCCAAAGTTCTTTTCTTTCGTAATCTTAGTGCAGTCAAATATCAACACATAAATCAAGACGAGGAGTAAAAATTAGTTTAAGTTTAATGCACTAACAATACAAAAATTATGTACACAATTAGGTCACTTGAAAGTTAATTGCAGATAACTCTGTTTAATAGCATTAATAATTGATAACATATAATAAAGGGTTTAAGTTATATACACACAGGTGTAAAAAAATTACACTATTAGATCACCAAAACACATGTACAGGTATACCTCCTTAAAATGTCGGATTTGTAATGTTAGTAAGACAAGTTACATGCTACCATAAGTAAAAGTGACCTAATGATGTAAAAATTTCTTATTCTTAATAGCATTAATAATAAGGAGTTAATTGCAGATAACTCTGTTTAATAGCATTAATTGATAACATATAATAAAGGGTTTAAGTTATATACACATGGTGTAAAAAAATTATACTATTAGATCACCAAAACACATGTAGAGGTATACCTCCTTAAAATGTGGGATTTGTAATGTTAGTAAGACAAGTTACAAGCTAGCATAAGTAAAAGTGACATAATGATGTAAAAATTCCTTATTCTTACGGTGCATATAACTTAAACTCTATAATAAATGGTAACTGAACTGCTATAACACATTAAATAACACTACTAATGTATAGAAAACATAACATTGTCGGTGTATATAAATCTCGTAAAAGTTATGGAACATACCAATGTCACACTCAGTTCCAATGGAGAGTACAGTAGCTAGGTATTTTGTATCAGAGCCACGTTTCTTG